AGTCAAATGATAATAATCCACAATTTAGTTTAAAAAGGTGTCTTAATTTGGGAGTCTTAAATATGGTGCCCATGATCACTACTATGCCTAAGAATCCTTCTTTGGCATCTACCCAACCACATTCTTTCTCAGATCTGTTCAAAAAATTATTTCATTTAAAATAAATGAAAGAAAAGCTGGCAAGCTAAGATTCAATGTTGCTCTCTCCCACCCGCTGCATGTGGAGGTTTGGTTTGTTTGTTTTCCCTATGCGTGTGGGTATGTTTTTCCATTAGCACTTCACCTTTTGTGAAATTTGAATTTTGAAATATTTTGTGGGAAAGAAAATTGGATTTGGCATTTAGAGTCCATATTCTACCTCTGGTTTTTGGTCCCCTAGAATAGATTTGAGAGGGGGCTTATAGGCCATCTAGCCAAATCCCCTACTTAAGACTGGTATCCAAATTAAAGTGTTCCAAACATCTGGCTGTGGTATTCTTCTTGGACACATCTGGCCCAAAGATAACACTCAGTGCAGAATAACAAGATTACAGTATGTGTCTCATGGCCATTGTTGAGTTAGGGGTATCAACAAGAGTTGGTGATGATTTTTTTTTAGTGAAAATAACACAGATAATTACACCAATGCCAGATGGATCTTGGAGGAGAATTAGCTTGGACGTCATAAGTATTTTGTTGCCTTAAAGTTATTTTTCCAGAGACCTTGATATGGCAAACATGAATGATGTTACAAGATCTGCTGTTACTAATTGTTTAAAATACATATCCCAATGTCCCACAATTCATTGAAACAGCTTGGGCTATTTATAAAGAAGTACAATTTTAGACACATTACAATCAGTCCCAGCCATTCACAAGCCAATAATGGAACAGAAACAGTAGTTCAAATGATGAAGTAAATTCTCGCATTACAAACTTTGTTGTTATAATTTATGCACCCTATTTTCAATCTTAGAAATAAACATACACCCTAACTGAATCAATGTCAAGAAGGTCTATGCAGATGCAAAAGCAGCCTACAAATTTCACTTTGAAGACATCACAAAGGGTATTCTTTGTCAAAGGCACAGTGTTAACAAACAACTGTGTAGAAATTTCAATGTTATTTTCTCAAGATGAAGTGAGGCAACATTAAGAAATGCAGAAGACATTTGCAGTTTAGCACAGAAACAAGGTTAAGCGAGGTAAACTTGGCAATAGATGGAACTACTGAGTTAATGTAGTACTAAGCGATAACAATAGCAATCTAACCACACCATCAGATTTGAGCACCTCATCTTTAGGCATAAAGCCTACAACTTCCAGATGCAGCCCGGTTTGAAAATTTGCATGGAGCTAATTTATGCAGGGACGTGGTGCCTCAGTGGCTAAGATGCTGAGCTTGTCAATCAGAAAGGTCGGCAGTTTGGCGGTTCGAATCCCTAGAACCACTTAACAGAGTGAGCTCCCGTTATGTGTCCCACCTTCTGCCAACCTAGCAGTTCGAAAGCACATAAAAATGCAAGTAGAAAAATAGGAATCACTTTTGGTGGGAAGGTAACAGTGTTCCGTGCGCCTTTGGTGTTTAGTCATGCCGGTCACTCTTCAGCTTTGAAACAGAGATGAGTACTGCCCCCAGAGTGAGGAACAATTAGCACATATGTGCGAGGGGAACCTTTATCTAATTTATGCAGATAAAAATATTACCACCACCTACTACTACTACTACTACTACTACTACTACTACTACTACTACTACTACTACTACTACTACTATTATTATTCATTAGACATGAAACTCAGCCAACTGAACATTCAAAAATGGATTACAAATACCAGTGACTGGTGCTAATGGTTGATATGGTTTACTGCCAGCATCCTAGGTATCAACCAAGTATCTTCTTAAAATATAAGATATTCCGAGTAGCACCGCTTTTTGCAGTTCCTCTGGTGTTATTGCAGGAAGCTGCAATTTGTAGATGTATCTTGTAAAATTCTTGGACATGGTG